GCTATCTATATACACAATATGGAGTGTCTATATGACTCTTACTGCGTGAAAGGTTAAAGTTTTAATGTCATATGTTAAAGGAGAAAACAGTCGTGCAGTATCACGGACTCATGCTAATAAAATATATGTACTGAAGCATATAGTTTGAAATAAATAAAATATTACGTTGTTTTCTGTATTGTACATATATAGAAAAATAAGAAAAATAAATATATGTTGAAGTGTATGGTAGTAGATAAATAGAAAAAATTAAGTTTTTATCGCGTAATAGTCTTGGAAAAGAGTGGTAATCTGCATTATTTCCGTACAAATATATTGTGAAGGGAAACCTTGTCTATTGAGTCTAAATTTTCTAGATATACCTGTCCTTTGATCAATCTATTATACAAAACATCTATTTGCGAACTGGGAAATTATATTACTCGCTAAGTAATATTAAACATTCATCAATACAACATAGTTTCGCTTATCTATATATATAATGTTCAGTGTGTGCCTGTGTGTTCGTATGTGCCGAATAAAAGGTTAAGGGTCAACTGCCAAATCGAATATAGTGAGTTTCTGGAAAGCTCTAGCAATATGTACTCTTCTATAATGCTCTAGAATCTTCCAGATTCTTGGAATCATCTTAAACTTGCTCGAACGTTATAAAACATTCCGAATTTTGCAGTGAAGTTATGTCAGGCGTAATCAAATAATCAACTAAGGAAAGTATTCTCGAAGGCTCTAGGATAGGTTACACAGCGTATTATTAAGAAGTGTTATCTATCTCTATATATATAACGCTGAGTCTGTGTTTGTGTGTCTCTCTGTGCCTAGACTAAAGGTCAAAGATCAAAGATCAGGATATGGTGTGGGTGTGGATGTAGGGTGGGGGTGGGTGTGGGTGTGTAGGTGTGGGTGGGGTGTGGATGGCGTGTGGGTGTGGGAGTGGGTGCGGGTGTGAAGAAGAATCTCCTCCACACCCACACGCCCACACCCCATATAGATACAGTATTAAATCAATCACTGCATTTTTCACTCATATAATTTCCCAATCTATGTCCACAAGTTCCTTGTCTGTTTTCAAAATAAACTTGTGTTATTTATTTACTTATCGTTATAAATTGAGTATGTGAATAAGACGTGCCTGTTTGTCCTTTCGTTTCTTCACATAAACCTATTCTTCATCAATTAAGAATAGAAATTTCTTATTCGAACTAACAATCTTCACGAACTGTTATGTTGTATAGTAATTGAAAACAGCTTTGCTAACCAAATTATTGAGTTAGGCATTCATATGAATTAAGATACAAATGAATTAAACCTGTAGTAACTACGAAATAGTTTTTTTTTATAAGATGAAATAAAATCTGCTGACTTTTTGTTTTTTTTTTTATCACATGAAAGATATATTGCGTAGAAAGATAACTTTATTTTAAATTCGATGTGCTATCATTTGCTGTCTTGCAGGTATATAAAGAGACTAGTAATTCATTACAGAGTCCTCAGATGACTGGATTACTAATCACTTTTTGCAATACGGCACTAAAATGAATCTCTGACTGTCTTGAGTGGTACAATTTATGTTGCATATTCAGTAACAATGAACTCTCACGCAATGATCTGTTAAATAATGAATGAACGGTTTTTTGCATCGTTATCTTTTTATTACTTCATACGTTTTATTCAAGAACAAACTATATTAGAACATGCAGCGTGGAAATCTATACAAGTTACAAGGAAAATCTTATCTGATATATTCATCCCATGTTTCCAAAATAGACAAAAGTTTACGAGGCTGATTTTTGCTGCTGTGAGTAAGCTCATTTTTTGGTAAGTAGTCCATTTATATCTGCTATGTCATAGCTTCATTTAGCGTAAAACGATAATTTTTATGTCAATGTGTTCTAGGTTGAGTGTGGGCAAACAAGAGATGGTTATAAAGTCAAACGGCTTCTTCGAAATAGATACATGTGTTAATCAGATATTATCATGAATTTGTTAGCACTAGACTGAAAAAATGTCATGACTAAACACAAGTGAACACCAAGTACACTGATTTCAATGTTTTCGACAATGATACGGCACAGAAGATTATCAATAATATTTGACAGGATAAACTGAAATGATTTGTCTAGTACCAGAAAATGATGTTATTCAGAGCATTCGAAAGTTGTTCGCGTAGAGCTTTGTCTATTTTGAAAACATGGGATGAATATATCAGATAAGATTTTCCTTCTAACTTGTATAGATTTTCACGCTGCATGTTCTAATATAGTTTGTTCTTGAATAAAACGTATGAAGTAATAAAAAGATAACGATGCAAAAGCTAATTTTGTTCTTGTGTGAATCGTTCTGGATGTTAGGCTTGCAAAAGATACATTAAGTTTCTCTAGCATGCCAAACGATGTGGGTGTGGGTGTGAGTGGATGGATAGGTGTGAGTATGGGTTCTCCTTTCATCCACATCCACACCATTTTTCATCATTTTTGGTCGTATATTATTTTGTTTTCTTATCTAATTTATGCACATGTATTGCCACTATCATGAAAAATTTTTTTATGTACCCTAATTCAATGAGTTATAAGAACCCGAATTCTACGATTATGAAATCTTCAGACAGTTGATTAAATACGTAGAACATATGTTGAGACATCTATTTTTAGCATCTAGACAACATAAAAGTATATCAAAGAATGGACACAATAATCTACAAGACAGCAAACAACAAGTAACGAAAAGTTGTTGTTAGTTAGTAACATCCATTGATGATAAAAGTCTTGAATTTGTCTCTTTTCTATTTAGAAAAGATGCTTTCAACATGTAACAATGAAGTTGAATAATTACTGGAATTTTTTCTTTCCTGTTTAACGATAACAACATCAGTAGAACTCTATCATTTGAGTTGGTGAAATCGAATCGACGAGTAGAAGTAGGTTTTTTAAAATATCACTGGGTTTTCACCATAGCTGAAATACTTGGAAGTAACCGGAAAGAAGTGAGTAATATAAGTGCGAGGGTGCGAATGTGGGTGGGATGGGGTATGTGGGTGTCGATGTGAATGTTGTTTTGTCTTAATCCACACTGACACCCACACCCACATCCATACCCACACTCCACACCCGACTTAAACGATAATCTTTAAAATCTTTCGATATAATTTTTGTGCCCGAAAGTCTGTATTTTAAATTTAGCCTAGGTAACTAGATAATGAATGAATCATTGTTTTGTTGATTATTTTTTAATGCTAATATGTAATTTTCGTCTTCTAGTCTAGAAAATGTCCAAAATAACATATTTGATTGATCAAATCCACCTTTAGTAAAACGAATACGAGATTTTTGATGATCTTTAAAATAAATTTTCTATTCTATTTAATTCCATCTCAAACTTCACTGTCTTTTTTTCATTTTTAATAAATATCTTATTATTCTCAAACCAATGACTATAGAAAACTATTTTTTCATTTTCACAATTCGCTGAATTTTCTAGCTAAAATTTCGGCTATTCACCTAAATAACTCTGAAACAAACATCTTCTTTTTATTTCGTAACAACGGAATTTTTCTCCAAAAATATTTCTATCAGCAATTTCAACAAAAAAATTTTGTGCCTCCAAACATTCTTTATAATGTAAATGATTAACAATTCAACTAGGCATGCGTGGATGTTCATTTCATTTGTATCCATGCCAATACCCTTTATAAACAAGGTGAACCAGTCGATTTAGACAGAAGTTTACAAAATTAAATTACATTAAATCAAGGGGGAACAAGCGTACTTCTGTACTTCAGAAGTACTACGTAGTGGCGTAGCCAGAAAAAAGTTCAAGAGAAGCTCAATGATTTACCTAAATCATTGTAGGAGCAAAGGACAGTAAAATCTATTTTTCCATACGGTTTACTTTTTCTAGGGGGAGGAGGGTCTGAGACGCCACTAGCTCGCAAACACAACACATTTTTAAAAATTTAATGTGTTTCCTTTTTATGAATAGAAGAATAATTCTTGTAGTGTATACATGTCAATTTTTGTGAATACTCTATTTGATTTGTTGTTAACTATGAACTGGAGATCGAGTATTGTTCTTCTTCAATAATTTGAAGGTTTTCTTTTTATTTTCTTTAGTTAAAATCTACGATGATCGTGTTTTTTTAAATTTTTTAATGTTTGTCATCTATCTGTTTTGTTTTCCTGTCACTAATATTAATATGAACTGAAAGCAGCCATGCAGAATCTACCCGTCTGTGCGAACGGCCGTTCGGGGAAATTTTGGAAAACCTAGTAAAATTGGGGAAATTTTTAAAAATTTAATACTATCTGAGAATTTTCGAAAAATATCTCCGCTTATGAGGGAAATTTTTCAATTCTCCAAAAATACCTTCGTTTACATATATATCGATAAGATCTGTTAGTTTTCTTTTTCAATGAATTTTGGAAAGACTCGTTTGCGTCTTTGTTGTAGTGACAGTATCGTGTACCTTTGTTTACGCTTATCATGCATCTTGTGACTTCTTTCACTCTCTGTCTTTGTGTCTATTCATCATACAATACGCATAAGGTGTGTTCTCCTCTAGTCATTTTTACTTTTCCCTAATATATTTCCCCTTCTTGCTGTTTGTTCCTTGTGGTTGCATACAAGGACTATTATGCCAGCGTATATATGTACAAACTAGATAGAAAATTCAGTCCGAAACTATTAGGGTGTCATTTTAGAGTTGACACCGGTGTACATTAATATTGATTGATATAGTTGCTGGTTAAAATAAATTTATCAATGCTAATACGTACGTATGAGAGTCTCCCTGGTGTTAATATCGATCTGACACCGTTGCATATGACTGTTCATCATCATAGGGAAAAACGAAAAATTTTGAAAACAACAAGAATAAAAAAACTTATTTCGCATAGAAATCATTCATCTTAATAAACATAATTGGCTTACGTGTTATGAAGAGAAAAAGAACCGTGTAATAAAAAACTAGCAGATGGTATTCATGATTTTTATACTTTCATTCCTTGATGATATTACAACTTAGAAGCGAAGCAGTATGTGAATCAGCGTCATCGATCTTTAAAACGAATATTCACAACAACCGCTCATTACAACACAGTTCATTAGATGAAGAAGTTACGGTACATTGGAATGCACCACCTTTACATACGGCTGATTCCTTCATCACAAATTCACTCGATTGTTATTTTAGTACAATGAAAGACAAAAATTGGTTATTTTATAAAAAAAGTGAACACTATCAAATTTGGAAACTTGTTGCTTCTGGTTCAATTAGTTTAAATCGCTTACGAAAAGCCCAAGTAACAAGATTTCCTGAACCAGACCCTATTGAATAGAGCACGTTTTGTGTACTCAAAAAGTGAGTACACTATAGAATCGGTCAGTGTGTCCGGCCGTCCGGTCGTTTACACGATAAATCTTCAAAAGGTAGTCCAATTGTGATGAAATTTTGCACACAGAATCGTCTCATCAATATCCCGGTCCAGTTCGAAGATGAGAATGATTCGACAAGAAATTGCTGAGTTATCGCAAAAATGTCATTATTTCCTATGCTGTTCTATGCGAACATTGACCTATCCCAGTTTTCGTAAAAAAATGTTTTCTCTCATAATCAAACAAAACCACAGCTATTATATGCCATTCGATAGAGAATTTCACGGGCTACAAAACGGTATATAAAACATTAAGAAACAAGAAGGCTAAGTCACCTATTGCAAAGATACTTAAACGGAAATCGCTTCTGTGTTTTTACTTTTTGAAGCACACATAACACTCGGATTTAAATCCGAGGTTTCCATATTTATTTTAATGTGTATTTGTAATATGTTTATTATTAGTAGTTGTTTCTTTTTGAATAAATATCTTAAGCAAGAATCTCATTTTTTTTTATTTGAATTTTATAACGGGGGAAATTTTTTCGAAAAATTTTGCCGTTCGGGGAAAATTTTCATTTTACCGGCAGATTCTGCACGTCTGACAGAAAAAAAAAGAAGTAATAAGCTAATCATGTGTGACTGTGGTGTGAATCAATCAAAGACTCATATTCACACCCCAAAGTGAGCAGTTTTAGTTGATATTTATTCAAGATCATATCTTTGAAATTCCAAACAATCGGGTGCGATATAATGTTTCTCATAGTTTATCTCATGCTTGATTATTTTGAACTCTTAGTATGGCATGATTGAACTAATGTCGTAGCATTGAGTCTCGTATGCATAATATTCTATATATAGTTGTGGGTCTTCAAAAATATTGATTATAAACAGTGTATTCCAAGTAAACATTGTCGGAATATTTTTGGTGGTTGATATGAAAGTAGACCAAGAAAAGGCTTCATCCGCTTTGTAATGCTGAGAAGACTATCATCGAACGGATTGATCTCTCGGTAGACCGTACCATGAGTCATCACAGATGCTACTTATGAAGCTAGTAATTCTAAAATCATTCTGAAATAACTGAGATTAAGCATGTTTTCTTTTATAGGCAGTTCTTTAACATCCTTTCATTGACTTTGATTAAATACGCTGCTGTCAGTCTTTGCATCATAACTTTTAGCTTCGTATTGATTTAAAGATGAGAAAATCTGGATTTCCACTAAACACTATGAGTTGAACCGCTACATAATATCCAGTAATAGTTTATATCGTCTACTTTCTTAAGAATTGCGAAATTCAGATATTATCTATTCTATGAATAGTTTGCTTCGCAATCTCTTGGTTGATGTTTGTGCCAATTTATCAATAATTTAATTTTAGTTTAACTTTATTCATAAATCTGTTTGAAAAAATGATATGATTCGAAAAACAAAAACAATTCAAACTTATGTTTATTTTTCACAATAGAAAATAATAACATCTGATTCTTTTTTCTTTTCTATATGAATAAAATATCTCGAATAGATTATCGACTATTGATTTTTAAGTGTTCGATGTTTCACTCTTTCATCTCTAAAAATGAATACATCTTCTTTAAATCTATTGATTTTATTAGTAAAATTTAGACAATTCAAAGATAAAATATCGTTTATGTAGTTTTTGATAAATTAAAAAACACTTTTATATTAAATCTTGATGATAATCATTTTTCCATTGCAAATAAATAACATCAAATACACGTTTGATTGTATAACAAACAAGAAGTTTGTTCGAATTAATTATATCTTTTAATTTTTCAAGCATTCTATCATCTACTGTTGGAATACGAAGACATAGTGTATAAAGATATTGATTGCAATCATTATTAATTTTATATAAAATTTTTTTAATAAATAATTCAATATCCATAGTATTAATATTATTGATTTGAAGATAATTTATTCGAGGACAAAATTTAATGAGAAAATAAACTTCTTCAATTTCATTCATTTGTTCTAGATAAATTTTTCTTATTTGATTTTTATTTGATATAAAACGATGAAGTATTTTTTCTGTAGATGAACATGTTCTTGGTGATAATGATAAAGAATAAATTTTTAATGAATCAAGTTCAGATAATATATATATTATGTCCATTAATGTTATAAAATCAATAGTTTCTTGTTCAATATCTAAATGATAAAATTGTGCTACTCTTAAAATACCATGAATATCAATCATTGATAATTGTGAATATTCATTACAAGGAGAATAAGTAAAAATAAGTTGAGTAGATTTTGAATATTCAATGGATGAATTAATATCATACCATCTTTCTCTAAATAATAAAAAAATTAATTTATTCATTATAAAAAAAAACTTGATTTTACTTATATGGATGAATTCTATAGATAAGTTCAAATGAATCCATTTCAGTTTCAAATATCCATTTTTTTTCAATCCAAAATGATGAAATAAAATGATTAAAATTTTCAAGATATGTTGAAGAGTCATATGCATTATAAATCTGTTCATAATATTGAAAATAAAATTTTTCTAATTGAGGTAAATATTTTAAAATTAATTCTTCCCATCGATTAGCATCTAGATAAGTCATATCTTCAGACCAGGTAGTAAAATGTAAAATTTGTAATTTACAATCTAAATTTTTAATAAATATTATAAATTCATCAAATTTTATATAATGTACATTTAAAGAAATATATGATAAATTTGATAATCTTATTGGTAATATATTTGTAATGATTGAATTATTATCATTTGTATGTGCAAAATTCAAACGACTAAGTTGAGGTGTATAAGACAATATAGCTGAAAGTTCATTAAAAGTACAAGAATGATTAATAATAAGATATTCAATAGTACTGAATTGATTTTTAAGAGAAAATGGTAGTGATATATTTATATCAGAATCTTCTGTTGAAAATTTCAAATATTTCAGTTTTGGTAATGCAAAAATTAATTGATAAATATCAGTTAATTGAATTGAATCATATAACATATTGATTGTTAATGAGAATAAACGAGATAAATAAGTTAATTTGGACAAAAGTTGGATAAGTATAGTTGATTCAATTTCACTAAGAATAAGTGATTCCAAATGATCCAATGATGAATCAATCGAAAACGATGAGAAAAATTGTTCATTATGTGATGATATGCATAGATAAAATGAATATATTTGATGTTTATTAAGAAGTATAAGTTGTTCATAGATTTTTGTGTATAACTCATCAGATGGTGAATCAATTTTAATTTTAAATAGAAGAAATGATGAATTGAGAAGTTGTTGAAAACGATGATTAAGATTTGAAAATGCATTATATATATCAATACCATCAAGATAATCAAATAGTTCAACAAAAAATTCATTCGATAAATTTTCAATAGAATTTATTGACATTCTATTTTATGATGAAATTTAACGAATAAGAATGTAAAATATATATGTGAATAAATATTTGTTGAGTATTCTTTATTATCCTATATTGAAATACTTGTGTGTTTGTAATCATCTAACCAAATGAACAATATCCAGTCGATAGACATGAACAAAAGACAATTGATTCACTTCATATAGAAATTGTTATCCAATGAAAAGAAAAGTTGATATTTTATAACTAATCGAAAATGTTGTTTTTCTCTTTTCTTTATAACATAATGAATACATAATAAATAAGAATTGATATGGTAAATAAAGCAGAACATGAAAATATTCTTCATAATTAAATATTTCGTATTTTCTTATATGAAGTTGATTTTTCAGGTAATCTGAAAATGTACTAATAAAATAAAAGATAGAAGAAGAAATCTTTGATAAGTACATGATTATTTGAATATATTTATTTATGCCAATTTTAATCAAGATATTATAGAAATAATAAATTTTAATCTATTCGATTTTATGTTTTCTAGAAAACCAAACAAATTTTCTAGAAAAGGAAAGAAATTTTTCAAAAATAAAACTAAAACCAAACGGACATATCAAAAGCCATATAAAACTTGTCTTAATACGTTTCATTCAAAATATTTATGTGTCAGTAAAAGCCAATAGCCATAAATAGCATATATTATCATCGTCGTTAATCCTATAACACTAGCAAGCATATAATGAAACAGAAACAAATAGTTTGATGACTTTGAGTTTGCTGACATTTTTGCATTCATAATGACTGACTTTACAGTTGTGCTATGTTTTTTTTTGTGTAAATTGCCGTGTTTTGTATTTGTGAGTTGAGTCTAGTCAGTTTAGAAAAGTTCTATATATTACTAACGATGTATATTCTTTTTCGGATTTCTTTTTAATATTTGTTGAAGAGAGATTTTAGGGTTCTTGCTATTATTTTCTTGCAATGGCTTTGTTCGAACAGTTTTTAGCATTAATTTTAAATCCTTGTTGTAAGTTATTATTCATTACGGATGTCAAATAATGAAGATATTTTTGAAACATTTTGCTGTTCTGTTGTTTTGATTTACATTTGTCGATTGCATACTAAATTGTCATTCAGATCACATTTATTTTCAGTTTCAGTTTTATTAAATTCTAGTCGAATGGTTACTAATTTATTTCTAACCTTTACTTCAGATATCGTATTCTATTCGAAACAAATCAGATTTCATAAGAAATCTTAAAAATTGTTCTCATGAATACATAAGTCGAACTTTTAAGATTATGCATTAAATCACTTTTCTAGAGTATGAATAAAATCTTCAAAACTTTGATTATAGAAAATTTCTAAATTTTTTTTGTCTGCATTGTTAAATGAAATCTGATATTTTCTTACAACATTTTCGAAGGCTTGTAGAATACAAGTAGGGTGTGGGTGTGGAGGAGATTCTTCTTCACACCCACACCCACACCTCTTCACAACATAGGCATGTATAGCAAAACGTATTTTATCATGAATGAAACGTTCAATTCTAAGCTTTAGAGTGATGCTACTATCGATAGAATCTAAGAAGAAGTAGTTCATTTGAATTGCATATCATTTGTCGACAGAACATTTTGTCGACAAACATATTGTCGACAAAACTTTGTCGACATATATTTTGTCGATAGATACATTGTCGAAATATAAGTTGTCGATAGACTCATTGTCGAATTTATTTTGTCGACATGTTTTTGTCGAAAGCTTTTTTGTCGACATATTTTCGTCGACAACGTATATTGATCTTAACATTATAAGCCCGTATATTTTAACAATAAAGCAGAAGTTATGATTTCATTCTATATCGATAAATCAATAAAAGTTGTTTTCCTAAGTAACTCAATAAGAGTCACATCAATCAGTAATATTTTTTGCGTTCTGGAATCGATGCATTTATTAATTTGGTCAATTCCATTTCAAATCAAATAAATAACTATATATACATAAGAAAAAGAATCGGATGTATACATTTTCTCAATTTCTTCGTTTGTGTCTACTTTATTATAGCAACTGCTAAAATTCTTCTCGAATTCGGCGTGACCACAAAAAGAAAACGATTGCTTCTCTTTGATGGACATATATACACATTAAATAAAGATCGTGAAAAAGTGAAATATTGGCGTTGCCAGGATCGTTTCTGTTCGGCTTTTGTTCACACTCATGGAATGGACAACTCTAAAGCACACTCCGGCATCCACGATGGACATTTACCTTCACCTGAACGCATTGAACTTCTTAGATTCAAACAAAAGGTCAAAGAGCGTGTTGTCAAGAAAACGACAGCAATAGTTCGTATATACGAACAGGAATTAGCAGTATCAAAGCTTAGTCAGATTAGTTTAGACCTTGTGTCACATGCTACAGATGTTCGTGAGTACCTACCACAAACACCCACACCCTATATAGAATTTTAATTGTACTATTGTATGCGCTTGATTAAATAAAAAACTAGTTATAAACTTTTGAACATCGTTGTTTATTCAGAAATGTTTTTCGACGAAATCTCTGTCGACAAAATTTTGTCGACAAAGTTTTCTTTCGACGAAAAATTGTCGACTAAATTTTGTTGACAAACTACTGTCGACAAAAATTTGTCGACGAAAGTGACTGTCGACAGAAGTTTGTCGACTAATGATATAATTGCCTAACTTCGGCAGGCACTGTTGATGACTGTAGTGGACAGAGTGTAGTTGTGTTTCGTATTGATCTCGAAATCTGAAGCTGGTTAGTTTTATAGATTTTAACTAGAAGTCAAATCGTCGTCATCAATGATTTAGTTTATTCACTTTTAAAGAAGTCATTGAGATTTGATTCAATAAGATTCATAGTATTTATCGGTGAATAATAGCTATCGAAGCATTGGTATTCGTTTATTGTAATTGAGGTAAAAAAAATGAAGCCGTGATATAATGCACATTTTTTCAACCATGTGATTAGTTGTTTATTACCTTGGCTTAACGCTTGCGAGTGGCGTATGACAGAGCAAGCAAAACGATGATAATCGGTTCACAATAAAAAAAGTATCTTATATGTATGTGATACTCATATAATTTATGTCTACGGATGAATGCACAGAATGCACGATAAATTGCTTTTTATATATTGGCTAAACATTGCTTTGCTGTTAATCATACAACAACACAATTATATTGCAGCAGTAACCAAGTATAGCACGCACAATATTTTCACGTATAGTACCAAAAAAGGTATGTTTTTTTGAATATGCAGTCTCTATGCATTACTTTTGTACTATTGAGTATTGAACGATATTTTCTCTCAGATAATAGAAGTAGTAATTTTGTATTTGTTTTTTTTTCATTAAAATACTGTTGTTTTACTTACGAGGCAAAGATTTAGAAATATTTATACAAAGTTAGCAGCAGGAATCAGGTAGTATAAAGTCACTGTCCTGGAAACATATCATTAAAATAGATAGTTTATTCGGTTTCTGTGTGCCAACGCAGACGTATAATCCATGTAAAACACATTATATAAAAATTAAAAAATCCATATCTGATCGATTAAAATTGTACACCATTAACCTATTATCGATCGATTGCAAACTAATTACAATCAAAAGTGGTCAAAGATATGAATACTGCATCGAATGTCTTCTCGATTTTCGATGAAAACAGGTGTCAAATCGTGCCAAAACTCATTTTTGACGAATTCGACTTATTGAAATCGATAGAATTTGACTCCAATTTTGTATGTTTTATATTGGTTATAATGGATTGTAAGAAAAAAAACTGTCAGAATAGTCGATAAAATTTCTATATTTTGAATATTTACGTAGGATATCTTAAGTTCAGATTCGAGTATTTTTAAGGCCGATTCGCCCAGGAAATTGTTCCAACAAAGCTTTTTGCTGTTCTAAATAGAACTCGAGAGTCTACATCAAACGGTGAAAATCTCATCTTAATACATTCCATCATTCTCCAGATAGTTTCAAGATACTGGTCTCGATTGCCCCGTCAAACTAATATTTCTTGGGTCGATTCATCTATGAAAGTGTTCCAACTAACCTAAAATATGTTCGACGTGTTTTCAGACGAGCTACGTCTATTGATGAGGCTACAAATTGTTTGCTAAGTAAAATTTCTATGTGCTCAGTAAAAGAATTCAATGCTAAGTAAAAATATTGAACGCTCAGTTAATTAAAAGTTTCTCAGTAAAAAAAGTATTTGCTGAGTTTGATAGATAACCGCTAAGTAAAAATTATTATTACTGAGTAATTTCCAGTAAATGTAAAGTACGATTATCGGAGATAAGAAAAATTTTTTAAAGTACTATAATGTCCATATTGTTTTCTCTTGCTTTCCTTTTATCATCGTTCGACTGGTATCGTGATATATATGTCAACATTCAATTTCGAATTCACTCCAGTCTCGGATGTTCAGATTGAATTAGTCCATTGTTGGACTGAGAAAAATTTTTTATTAAAACCTTCATCACTCTCAAGATATATGTTGGATTGAAATTCCCGTTGATGAACTATAATGGAGCAATGGTACTTCGTATACTAAAATCATCAATGCAGAACCTACGTTCGAATTTGAACTCTAATGGATAGTTTTCCTAAAAAACTGTTCTTCTGTAGATATTTACGTAGAGTTTCACAAACGTTGCTTAAATTTGTATATCGACTATTGTATTTTCTAGAGTATCATTGCTGCAAGGCCATTTATCAACAAGAATTTCGATCTAACATTTTTCTTGAGACTAGCCGAGGTTTTAATTAAAACAAATTCCTCAATCCGATGTTGAACCAGTCCAAAGTGAGCACCCAAGATTGACCTAGGCGGATCTAATGTTGAAGTGAATCCAACACTGAATGCTGACACACATATATATCACTTACAGATTTTTTCGTTCTGATGTAGGTGCCTGTTTTCTTAGAATATGCTCTAGTACAATCCTATTTGTTTTTCTCTCGATATTTGTTTTACATAAGATTTGTATTGCTTTCTCGAGACTTCTCTTCTGTTTGGCACTTTTGGGTATGCTCGTTCCCTCATTTTCTTATATACTTCTGCTGATCTGTCATTGAAAGTTTACATTGAATTAAAAAACTGAACTACAGCAACGCGTCGGAATGAAAAAAAAACCGACTTGGCTATTGTCCGAGCTTCTTCAAAGAATATATTTGTAAAAATATTTTAGTCATAGCTATTAGGTTGAAATTTTGTAAAATATCTCTATCAGCAAAGGATATACCTTTCGATAAAAAAAGAAAACAAGAACGACCACGAAAAACAACAAAAGCTCTATGTATACAATAAATGTACAATTAACTTTTTCACTTAGATATTCATGTCATTTTACTTAACAAAAATTATATATTTACTTAGCGATTTACAATATTTTACTAAGAAAATCAAACTGTTTTACTTAGAATTCAAATAAAAAACTTTCAAAAAATACTTGTTTTACTTAGAATTTTTTTCAATCAATTACCTAGCAAAAATTTAATTTATTTACTTAGCTTTTATTTAAAATTACTTAGCACTTAAATAGTAGCCTTATTGGTGAAAATCCCAACACCACACAATGCTCCTGTGAAGAGTTACTAGCAATTGCTAAGCCTGTTTGGTTCACCCAGACGATACTTCTTGGGTTGATTCGCTTCAGAGATTGTTTCAATTAATCTGAAATATGCTCTAAGTGTAATTTGACGAGTTTTATTCATTGGTGAAAACCCCAACATTATACGACGCTTCTGTGCAGAGTTATTAACACTTTTCAGTCCCTTTGAGTTCACCGAGACGGTATTTCTTGGACCAATTCGCCTGAGAAAGTGTTTCACCTAATCTAAACTATATTTCAAGCATTATTTCACGAGCTTTATTTATTGGTGAAACATGAACAGCATACAATGCTTCTATGCAGAGCTGTTAGCGGTTTCCAAGCCCTTTGGATTTACCAAGGCAGCATTTCTTAGACAGATTCACTTACGGAAGTGTTCAAGCTAACGTAAAATATGTTCCACGTGTAGTTTCACAAGCTCTACCCACTGGCAACATCGGCTAGTCATGCAATGCTCCGATAGTGGGCTATTATCGATCTGCAGCGCCATGACTTTTGCTGGTACTGGTTTTCTTGGGCTGATTCTAGTAGCGTAACCAGAGGGGGGCAAGGGGGGGCTGAGCCCCCCCTACGAAAGGTTTTGCCCCACCCTAGAAAAATTTCTATCCCCTTTTATTAAAGAAAATTGCGTTTGATTTCTGTAATAATAGAAATCAACATACAGCTTATTCATAATAGCAGGCATCATCAACAATAAGAAGTCCAGAACTCGAAGGAAAATCCCTTAGAAAATGAATTTCTAATGCACATTTTTCTTGCATTTTTAAGAAGTTTTCGCTTCGCGACTTAGGTCTGTCCCATTAGTTTTCATTTTGATCAGTCTTCTCTCCATTACGAATTAACATTTGAAATATGATTCGTTTATCTGTGTGACTTAGGCAATGGGAAGCTTTGTATACGCCTCGCGTTTATCTTCCACTTTTAACACAGCGATTGAAAGCGTAGAGGACTTTAGTGGCTGAACATATATGAGTGCTATAGTTTCGTTCTTGTCACTCCAGAAGCGTGAGTTTTTATTTCATTGAACTATGCAATATTTTAGTCAAATCGTTTTTATTCCGTTCCAAAAAGGTGCCGCCTTCGGCGGCATGCTCTCCTTGAATAAATAATAAATCAATGCTTTTTTATACCGCTATTATCTCATCAGAAATTTTAGAGTCTAAGAAGAAACAAAATTTCTCACTGCGTGGTATTGTCCAAACAATAGTATAGAAAAGAACGGTGAGGAACAGCTTATATGGTATAAAACATTTTACTCTTCTTATATTTTGAGGCCAGATATGTCTCTTGGAGGTAGGAATCACTAAACAGTAAGTAACAGGTAGGAGCAAAAGAAATTCTCGATATTTTCGATAAATTGTTTCGAAAAAGAGTGTTTGTAACTGGTAAATATGCGTTTTGTGGCACGTTCAATAGGATTTCGTATGTGCTATTCAATTTTTATACACGTCATACGAACTAAAAAAACTAGACAAAGAATTATGTTGTTTCGTTGTCTACAGTTGGGAAGGGGGGCTGAGCCCCCCCTACGGATTTTTCCTGGTTACGCCCCTAGCTGATTCGCCTGTGCAAATCAGTGATAACTCAGTGTCTAAACATAGTGTGATGTTTATGCTTTCACCAATAAACAAAGCTCGTCAAATAATGCTTCAAACATAGTTTAGATTAGTTGAAACACTTTCTCAGGCGAATTGGTCCAAGAAATACCGCCTCGGTGAACTCAAAGGGGCTGAAAAGTGTTAATAACTCTGCATAGAAGTATTGTATAATGTTGAGGTTTTCACCAATAGACAGAGCTCGTCTAGAAACACGTCGAATATATTTTAGGTTATTTGGAACATTTTCATAGATGAATCGGCCCAAGAAATATTAGTTTGACGGGACAATCGAGACTAGTATCTTGAGACCATCTGAAGAACAATAGAATGTATTAAGATGGGATTTTCACCATTCAATAGAGCTGTTGAAGTACTACCTGGAGTCGAATTTGGATCTTTTGCAACATTCTGTGGGAGGAAAAGACGCACTGAGTAATAATATATTCACAGTAGATGTCGCCACAATACTGTGGCTGAGCATTGTGAGACGTATAGCTCGGTAATGATTGATGCCATCGGGACGCAGTTTTCACTGTAGGATAGAGCTCGTAAAATGGTACTTGGAACTTGAAGAGTTTTGTTGGAACAAGTTCCTAGGTGAACCAGCCCAGTAAATCCCAGATGGAAGGGCTATTTCTGCCTGTTGTTCGGCCTTTTCTCGAGAACGGTCGTATGTATCGAGAAGAGATTTTCACTATCCGATAGAGCTCATCGAACTGCATTGGCAACATAGAGAATTTTGTTGAAAGAAGTTCCTAGGTGAGTCGTACCGAGAATTACATTTTCTACAATTTGTTGCAATGGAAGAAAAAGTAGTGATTTTGTTATATCTCGGTCGTTTTAATATGTTTGGAAAAGGGGTGTTCACCATTCGATCCAGCTAATCGCGTCCTACTTGGAGCAACAAATAGCTTTGTTGGAACAGTTTCCTGGGCGATTCGGTCCTAAAGATATTCGAATCTGGACGTATCATATCCTACGTCAGTTGAAGAGTGATAAAATAGCACAGCAAAACAGAGCATAGTTTTCTCTATCAATACACAAAAAAGAAAATTTCTTCAAGTTTTCTATAAGAGATTAAGATACGGGCGCCACTACTTTTGGTATGCCCGAAATGTAGCGCTCATGATTGTGCTGATCAAACAGCTATGAATACGTACTGTATTTTGTTGTAAGCACGTCCACGTGTAACAATAAAAAGAGCGAAATCAAAAGAAAAACAATATTCATCATCCTCATATTGCATTGAGAACTTGTTTCTTGCTTTCTTCCTATCGAATTATTCGAGCCAGCATCGTCAATACTGTCCTTATTTTTCTGCTTTCCGTCATTACTCCTACTTTAATCTACATCCAATTCTTTTCATCAATAATAAACGTGAGCATGTCTATATGGTTGTGCTTCTTTTACTTCCGTTGTGATTTCATTTGTCTATATTTGTCAATCAAATGTGTTCGGTGAAAACTATTTTATACAAGTCATTAACGTGTTTGCTTCTTTCTTTCGATGATGAAGTTTCTCTGTTGTCATTTTCCGTTGTATTTCCAGCTTCTTTCATCAACGCAATCGATTCTATAGAACAAGAAGGTTTACAGCCACACCGATACAGACCAACAAAGAATGTTCTCAGTAGCATTGGCCCCAATTTCTCTCCTGTTGATGTCCGAGTTAACGACAGAATATTTGATGATCTTATTCTACGTTTGACTTTCGTCAGTCTCGTCAATCTCTTTTCATTGATACCGACATTTGACTCAAATCATAATTTTCTTCCAGTTATCATGTAGACTCTTCGAAAAGAATTTCTTTACACAAGTGGAGTTGGTACCCGATTCAATCGGAAACTTGTTCCAACGCTCCTATTCTTGTCCCAAGTGGAACTCAATGAGCTCTATCCAGTGGTATAATTAGAATTTTAGTAGCTCAAACTATGCGATCAAAAAGTTGCCCCATGGTCCTATAGTATAAAAAACTAGTTTTTTGAACTTTTTGACCACATAGTTTGAGCTATCAAAAATCTAATTATACAATTCGATAGAGCTCATCGCGCTCTACTTGGAACAAGAATAGGAGCTTTGAAACAAGTTCCTAGGCGAATCAAGGCAGAACCTACTCGAATTGGATGCCAATCTCACTTACGTAATTTCTTTTGATATTTTTTGAAACAAATAAGAATTCTTGTGCCATGATCGATTGAAAACTCGAGTGAGGGTAACAATGTTTAGATCTCAACTGTATTCACAATTTGATTGTGATAGAATTATTGAGCTAAACAAATTATTTGGATCTTTACTCTTGTTCTCGTTGTCGTCCGACACAAAGATTGACTTCTTGAATGGAAAATCCAATTTTTCTAATAAGATGTTCGATTATCGATTAGATTTTTCTTGAATAAAAGTCGTTTCATACAACAAACTGTTCTTTTATACAATTTATTTTGTTTTCCTTTGTATCAGATGCAACGATATGTATTAATATTCGCTGCTATTATCGTTGTAATGTATTTTGGTCTACACACAACTAACCAAATGTTGATTAAAAAAATTAACAAAGAGGCAACTGAAAAAGAAGAAATCAAAAAAGGAACAATTGAGAAAGAAGAAATCAAAAAAGGGACAATTGACAAAGAAGAAATCAAAAAAGGAACAACTGAAAAAGAAGAAATCAAAAAAGGAACAACTGACAAAGAAGAAATCAAAAAAGGAACAATTGATAAAGTAGAAATCAAAAAAGGAACAATTGACAAAGAAGAAATCAAAAAAGGAGCAATTGACCAAGAAGAAATCAAAAACGGAGCAATTGATAAACAAAAAATTAAAAAAGAAAAAGTACTCCTAGTAACAGCTATTCCACCAGCACCATGTAAAAGCACTTTTGGAGATTTTGTCAATATTCAATCTATAAAAAATAAATTAACATACTGTCAAATAAAAAACTTTTCTTTTCATTTTAATACTGTTAAAGTTGATCCTTTATTAGCCGGTTCATGGAATAAATTAGCACTTGTACATTATATACTAGAAAATAATTTAGATTATGATTGGATATTTTGGTTCGATGTGGATACATTAATATTAGATATGGAGTTTGATATTCCGTTCCAAGATTACTCAGAATATAACTTCGTCTTATATGGTGACAAAAATTTATTGTATAATGAACGCAATGTTTTAGAAGGAATAAACACTGGCATATTTTTGATAAGAAACAATGAATGGGGAAGAAAGTTTATGAAAAAAGCCTGTGATTTGGGCAAAAGTAAGACAGTAAAAATGGAATTGGCATTAAAAAATTATGACGCATCATTACGTGATCAAAATGCAGTTGCTTATTTATTGTGCCAAGAAGTAGAACTACGGAAAAAGGTATTTTTAGAACAGAGATATCAAATTAGCGGTTATTGGGAAGAAGCAAAAAAAAATAAAAAATGGAATCCTTTCATCATGCATTTTGCTGGATGTGAATTCTGCGATGGTATTTATGAAAGCAAAAAGCAAGAATGTCTCCCTTATTGGAAGAAATTCGTTAAAAAACCAAGCCGATATTTTTCCAAAGGACTTATTTAAAAAAAAGTAACGCTCGTGTCTAAGACTTGCTGGATCCTCAACTGAATCGGATCTAATCATCATTCATCACTTATTGTTGACACCTGTTTTGAGAAATACCGCTGAATAAACACGCATATATAAAAAAAACTGTTACATTGCTATCGTTGTTAATCTGTAGACTAACATACGTTCTAGTTTATTCTAAATCTAATCTTCAACAAAACTAAAAAAAGATAACAATGATTAATAGAAGTCACGCTCATATGAAGGACTCACTTTACCCTTGACTGAATATTTGACTTTTTCCTTATTATATACTATTCCACAGCACTAAAAAAAGGAAAGACTCAACTGTTGAACAATGTAGCTTGTGAGTGTGGATGTTTATGCTTCGGGTGTGGGGTGTGGCTGTGGCTGTGGGAGTGTGATTGTGGCTGTGAGTGTGGGGTGTGGGTGTGTGGTGGTGACTGTGGGTGTGAGTATGATTCTTCTATTTATCTACACCCACACCCAACAGAGTAACGTTAGCAATGTGTTTCGAATGTTTCTTCGTCAGGCTAGATACAGAATGAATGAAAGATATACATGAGAAAAAACAAGAAATTGTAGAAATATAAAAATGAAAGAGAGTAATAAATAGTGGAATTAAACAAGAAAAACACTAAAAAACAACGCAAAAGTCAAGAAGAAATAACTTTTAGAAATGGAAAGAGAGTAATAAATAATGCACAGTCAAAGACAAAAGTTTGAACGAAAATGTATTTTTGATTTTCTCTATAATAACAAGCATCTAACTGAAATCCAAATAGTGATTCGGATAGCGAATGAAGAGCTCTATCAAATGCATCCTATACCAGAATTACATAGATGATTTAAGGCAGCAAGGCTTCTAGAAAACCCAAAACCGTATTTTTCAGGTCTCAGAAGACTTTGCAATAATTCGTTTCTAACAGTACCAACTTAAAGAATGCAAAATTCTGAAGAAAATGAAGGGTCGCCGCCTTTCCTTTCAAAATTTATAAGCATTACAAAAATTGGAAAAAAAGTGAAATTCATCAAGAAACCGCTAAAAATCGTATTTTTTCGATTTTTGTGATGCTTATAACTTTTGAAAGAAAAGTCGTAGGAAATGCGGCGACCCTTCATTTTCTTCAGAATTTTGCATTCTTTAAGTTGGTACTGTTAGAAACGAATCATTGCTAAGTCTTCTGAGACCTGAAAAATACGGTTTTGGGTTTTCTAGAAGCCTTGCTACCTTAAATCATCTATGTAATTCTGGTATAGGATGCATTTGATAGAGCTCTTCATTGGCTATCCGAGTCACTATTTGGATTTCAGTTAGATGCCTGTTATTATAGAAAAAATCAAAAATACATTTTCGTTTAAACTTTTGTCTTTGACTGTATATAAAGAAAGAAAAAAAGCAAAATATCTGCTGTTTTTTTTTCATTTTGGAGTGTGTGTATGGGTGTGAGTCTGGGTACGAAAGTGGGTACAGGTATGGGTGGATGTGAGTGTGGGTGTGGATTTTCTTCCAACTTTCACATACACTCACATTCACACTTACACTCACCCTTTTATTGATTTCGGACGATAATTAAATATAAAATCATCACATATTTCAAAGTTTCAGTAAGAATAAAATGTCATTAATAATGTTGCCGCTGAATTCTATCGTTTCTCTTCCAAAACTCTCTCGCTTGCACAGAACATGTGTTGAGTAGTGACTGAGCTCACTGGGATTTTCAATGGCCTTTGTCTAATCGACGAAATTTTAGATAGTTTAATAATGATTAGTCGCACCAGTCGAGTAGTGATTTTTCTTTACCAAAACTTGATTTTTCTCTCTAACATAGCGGTTGACTTCTTATTAACCAAAAAGATATTAGAAGTGTCTTCGAAGTTGCTTGCCAAAAACTTCTTAGAACTATAAACGATACTATAACTCTACCCTATTCTAACTTATAATATGGGTTAAGGCTACCATGCAGGACTCTGATTCATAACGCAAATATGCAGTACTAGAAAAAAGTTTAAGTTGGAGATTTCATTACTGCAAACCAGGCCTCAAATATGAATCAATTGTTCTATGATAAGATCCTTCATTGATAAAAATTTCTAGAAGTAAATTATTCAATGGTCGATTTTTTAAGCGTTAGATTGATCATTATACAACTTACACTATTCGTTGTAAATATTCCTGCTCTCTCACAATAGCAGATTTCTTCTAAGGGTCGATGCACTAGACATAATAAAAGACTTCCTTCTTCTGAATTAATTAATTTCTCAAAAAGTGAACATACGTAGAGTGAAAAAATAATGGCACAAAATGTCAATCCTTACATCTTGTCGATAAATAGATTTTCAAAGAAATATTTTTTTTCTTAGTTGATAGGAGGTTTTCTTCTCTTTCGAAACAGTGTATGGTCCCTATTTATCTCACACATTGATCAATCAAACGAGAAAGGTAAAAAGAGAAACATTGACAAAATAAATTTTTTTAATTTTTATATGAACTTGTTAAAAACAGATTATAATTATAATTAAGTCTAGTTTTAGAAGATATCTTCTATTAAAGAGAAATAGGGATCGACATTTGATACCATTACTTTTATATCGTACGGTGCTTACATTAAAATATGTCTAGTTTCCAAAGTCTTAATCTGAACATCTTAAAAGATGATGTCAGCATTATTTTGGACTTTGAAAATCTTTATAATATATCTAACAATTGTTCAAAGTGTCTTGTTTTTTTGAAAAATCCTTTTAATTAAAAATACAACTAAATTTTCGTGCTAAGAATATTGTCTGAAACAAATTTTATTTCAAAATTTTGAGAAAACAAATTGTGTCCTGCGTCCACATATCCAAGTACTTTTGATCTTCCTTTGTATTATATATAAGACAATGTTCATTAGTTTTTTTTGTTGACTTTCTTTTTCCTTTGCTTGGTCATCTTTCAGAGATAACTTCTTATATACGAAACCAAAATACATTTTACAAGTAAAAACTAATTTATTCTGTGAAATATTTTTCCTTGTTTTTTTTTCAACATAAAAGATATCAACATATCAAATAGCTGTTTTACTTTTATTTAATGAATTTGAAAATATGAAAGGTCAAAAAATGTTCGATCAAACTCAAATCAATCCTGCATTATACGCACAAGTTCTTATGAGTTTATTAAAAAGTAAACTGTTAACATGTGTAGGAATCAATATAGATACATTAAATGAAAATTTAAACGAAAATGATGTTACAATGAATTCTATTACTGAAGTCAATCAAACTTTTCAACCGTTTGACGTTAATTTTTAATTTAAACATTATTACATTATGTTTTTTTTTCTGTAGTCATAAAAAAATTAATGTAATTAAGCCGATATAACCATTCGTATTGAATTCAATAGATTCTAAATCTATTTATGAATCAATTATGTAAGAGCGACAAAACACTTAAGTGCAAAATTTAAACCCGAAGGTCCTATGATCGAAATATAGTGCTTGTTTGTTTGATTAAAAAATAATATTGATGATTGTTTATTTTAGAAATATATTGATTTATTAATTGAAAAAAAAAATTTCATGACTGATCATGAGCAATTTGTTTTAACTAATATATTTTATATATTCAAGGATTTTTGTTTCTTTTGTTCTCAAAACAAATTCATTCGATAATAAAATGTGGAATAATATATTTTCTTGTGATATGGATTGCTTCGAAAAGGACGAAAAACATCTCATTGTTTCAAGTCCAACCTCCTCTCAGAAAACTCGATATTCGTCAAAAAAAAAAGTCATTTTTACCATAAACTTATGAGCATGGTGCGTGAGTTTCCTAGTGTAAGAAATTTATGAAACGCATTTTTGAATCTCGAACCTTTTTGAGAAAATTTATGAACAATTCCTGAAACCAACTGAAAGGGCATGATGTCCTGATGCAAATGAGTCTTAATCTTTTGTCAACCACACTCACACCCTTCTATCTTCTTCATCAGTAGTTGAAGAAAATTAGATATTTGTTTATCTTACTTATTTTGAAAAGATCGAAGATAAGAATACAGTTTTGAAGAAAAAATATGCAACAGATATTGAACCAAAAATTTAGTATCACACGAGTACTAATAACAAGTACTGATATAATGAGTAATTCACTAGAGCAGAAACTATTCTTGACTCGATTCCCATACCAAAATATCGAATCGATAGAGAAGAGAGTAAGTAGAAATATGTGTTTCAGTTGCTAATCGTGTTCTTTATTCAATAATTGTTACGTTCGAGTAGACATATGTTGAATGAGGACTCGACCTAGAACGCTTGAATCCGTACATGTATAACTGAACTCTACTTGTTTTAAAAAAAAGTTTGTGCAAATGAATCGTTGTATTAAAGTTGAACAATACGTTGCATATAATTATTTATAGAAATATGTACGAAAAACTTTTTTTTTTATTGTCAAATATATCTGATCCTAGTCGATTATTCTTTAATATTTCTTTTTTAATCTAATTAATTATTTTCCTCTTTAGCATAATCTATCAAATAAAGTAATCTTTCTATAATTAACAATTATTTTTCTTAGCCATGCACTTTTATCTTTATTCGATTATTTTCATCAATCGAATCAAAATATTTATTTTTTCTTTAGTCAAGCAATCATTTATTTTCCAACACCAGGTACTGTAAGTAAACCAAGACCACTCAAAAATTGAAACAATTCTTGATGAGAAACCAAATCAGCATATGTATGACAATTTTCAGCAACCTAAAAATAAAATATTAATATTATTAAAAAAACCAGCTAAGAAAATAATTTGTTTTTCTAATCATACCAGTATATAACCAGCACAACATTTCACTTCATGACTACTGCATGCAGACATATTAGGAACTTGAAATGTTTGTATGTATGTATACATCGCAGGTCTAAAGTAAAAAAAAAGCATAGGTTAAATATTACTTATGAAACAAAACGTAAACACTTACCTGTACGCTGTAACATAGTGACTGCATTTCATAGTACCCATAAAACCACAATCAACATAGCCAACCTAAATGAAATTTAATTTATTTAATCATTTAAATCTTTTCTAATAATACTTTTGTCTTTGTAGCTACAACATGTGTAGCATGTTCAATTTTTGTTTCTGTAACTGTTGTAATTGGTTGTTCATTAATACAACACCAATGTCTTTAAGAAAATAAAAACAACCTAATTTCAGAGGAAAAATAAGAAATTTTTTAATAACTTACGAAGCATCACTAGCAGCACGTCCTGAACCACTAGTTAATGATAATCGAACTGATTCTGGTAAATCAGCCAATTTAACTTTAGCTAAATATGCCAAAGCCTGATCAGTGAGCTAATAGAAAATAAAAAGACAAATTAAGATTTAATCAAATTTATTCTATAACTAACTTCAAATTGGAAGGCATTGACTGATATTAAAGCAAAGATACACAAGCAAACAATTGATTTCAACATGGCTATAGTCTTGTAAAATCAAAGCAATGATCGTCGTTTTATTTTTATTTTTTTATATAGATATTCGCCTACCTTTTTTTTCTCATCCGATATTTATCATATAAAACATCTGGTTTTCATTCTCATAATATTATTTTTTCTTTTTACAAATCGAAGCTTGTAAATCAGTGAATAAAATAAATATTTTTTTTTTGTGGCTTGAAATTATATTCAGCACAATAAAAAAAAATCAACTTTTACAGATTCATTTTATTATTCAAGATATTGGTTTTAATAATGAAAAAAAAAAAATCTTTTATTTTTATCGAAAATGCTCGAGTTAGAATGAAATCAATAGAAAGAAAATAAAGTAGATCCTCTTATTAGAGAGACTAGTATGCGTACACTTAATATGATTAATTTATTTTCTAGACAATGTATCTACAGAACGTCCCAAAGATGCATGCGACAATTTGACTTAAATAATTATTAAATACCTCAAGCGATTTATATATAATTTTTAAATAGTATTATAGTATCTTCTTTAAAGTTTGGTTTGGTATATATTCAGATAGCTGAATTCGAGTCGAATTTGACGTATTCAGTAGAGTAGTAAATGGATAACAATCTGAAAGACCTTCAAAAATTACAGAAAAAAAATCGGCATAGTTTATGATACTTGTGAAAATTCTACGAATAACAGCAATACAAAGTACATCGAAAGATCTCTTTTCTTTTAAATGATCTACTGATAAATATGAATTGAAAACAAATCTTTCTGTAATATTTGTTTTAAACATTTCGATAACGATGAATTTATGTATTTCAGTTAATGATAATTATTCAGAATATCTGCTGCAAAAAAACAAATTATTAATTTTTTTCAATGAAATAAATATCAATTTATCGTTCATATAAATCATATTCTATTGCATAGAACTTTGTTATTTATTTATAACTTACATATATTTTTGAAAAAATAAATTCCAATAATAATTATCAACAAATCATTACCATACAACGAGTAAAAGAATTATTTCAAAAAAAGAAAAGTTTTAAATAGAAAAATATTCAAATCAAGATACCATAGCTTAAAATCGAAAAAATGAAAGACATTTTCTGGAAATAAATTTTGGAAAAATATCAAGCAAGAAGAATACAATATGCTGAGACTATGGTGACCCTGTTCGGAAAGTTCTTGAAATTGCCAAAGTACAAGCCCCGCAGCGGTCCTTCTTTCCTTCTTTTTTTAGAGTGTCCTTCTTCACTTCTAAAATCCTTCTTTTTTTATTTTTCATACGAATAGGTTCTCAGAAACATCGAAAAACTGATTAGCAATACTTAGTTAGAGTTTGACACTGATAGAGAGCTCTCAGAGTTCTAGAAAATGTTTTATTTACCTCAAGACCAATGCAAAGTTCGTTATACTTAGACTAAAGTACGCATGTGTGGCTTCAGTCCATGTGGGGCGCATATATAGAGCTTGAGATACGTAAAATGGTGCTCCTCTAGAATACAGTTACTGTCAAAAATTTCGGACATTTACCAATGATACAGCATAGCTGAAGCTGAGCCATCTCATAGTCATAGTCTTATAGCTGCATGTACCAATGGTCTTTCGTGGCATATCGATGTTCAATCGAGATTGTTAGATTGTCGTTTAGTATAACAAAAGACGCAGTTTTATTGGTGTCATTGTTGATAAACAAAAGCAGAAAGGCAACTAACATTCCTTAATACTCAATGATAGTGCTTATACACGGAAATGGGGGTAGTACAAGTACGTTTATTCCAACTCAACTAAAAATCAACGTTCAAATTTCTAAGCAAATTAATTTGGTAAATCTGTTCCAGACATGATTTTGAACTTCTCTACTCGAACTATAGCTCTTAATATGTTTTTTAATTTTTTCGTTCGGTTTGGAGTTTCAGAGACGACTTTGGACTTTTCTGATCGAAGCATTCAAAAGTGACAATTGAACTTCATATCCATCGAGAAACTGGAAACTTATCCGGTTAACTCAACTTGATGGAGGACACAAAAATCACACAGGGATCCTATTCAGAACGAGAAACCTGAAAAAGTGCATCCCGATCAAAGAAGTCGTAAGATATCTCAATCAGAGCTCCGACTGAGATGGGACATCCCCTTCCATCTCATTCTATGGAACAAGTTGTTTTTTTGAAATATCCCATGGGATAGAATGAAACGATTTTCTCATCCTATTAGATTTTCTTCTTTTTTTCTCATGAAAAAATGCAGGTTCTCTTTTGATGAAAGATAGACTGAAAGTACTTTATAAAAACGGTGGATCATAGGGTTTATTATACTCTCATTGTTAGCCATTTTGTCAATAGAAACAGTTTTGTTTCTTACTTTCTTCTTATATTTTTTCATGAAAAAAAGTTTAATGTTTTTACGAAAGTTTAAACCATGAAAAGTGACACTGATTGTCTGGAGTTCTGTGTGCTTCAAGCTCGTTTAATTTTTAAATAATTCCGCCCCCGTAATTGCTAATTATATGGACAAAAAGTCATTATCATAAGGAATCTTTATCTCATCTCTACTTCAAATTAATTTTCAGCCGAATTTTTTACAAGGTTTGGTTAAAAAAAAACCAATAGGTCGATTGAAAATTCTAATAGATTCTGCCAAATCTCAACAATGATAAAATTCGTCAGAGCCCATAAAGATATGCAGAAATCTACTGGATTGCACTACAATACGAAAAGATCTTCAGGGACCTTTAGCAATCTGGGAAAACTAACTAAACTCATCAGGAGCTGAGAATTCGTGGATGAGGAATAAACTGGAGAAATTTTTTTACTTCTTAATATTTAGCGACATGCAATTGAAATATTCTAAGAAAAAAGCAGATCCTAGATTCTGCTGGAGTCTAGTAAATCCAGACGGATCCGATGGCTTTTGATGAATTTACTATCGTATTCTTTGAAGTTCGCTAAGGTCTTAGATCTGCATTTTTATTGTTGAAGAAAGTAGTAGGGTTTATGAGCTTAGTATAAAAAAACTAAATGGCAATTAACTGATGTAAATGGGAAGTGGTTAAGAGAAACTGAGATGATTGAATAAGAAAGTCATAGAATTCGAATCATGACGTAAAAAGATGTTTTTATTAGAGGTTTGTCCCATGGGATGATTTTTTCGTCCCGTTCAGACCCCTGATCTCAATCTAAGCGGGATAGGTCAGAAATATTGGACGATGGAAAATATTTTGTTACAAGTTGAAAGATGATTTCGAGTTTAATTCACCTTTCAACATTAAGAGGTAAATTAATCAGTCAGCTTAATTTCGAATCATCTTCAACTTGTCACATCTCGGCGACAGAATGGTGTGTTTAGGCTAACTCTTTGTCCCGCTAGTGTAAAAGTGGCAGATAGAAGTAGCCCCTATGCATGACACTTCTTTTTTAAGGACAGAGCAAAGATGGTGCCACATACCTCTGGCACCCTGTTAATTGATAGATTGATCATATACGAATTTTTGTAATCGCTACACAGCATAGCAATGCATGTGGGTGAGGGTGTGCATGACCTGTAAAACTACCAAGAGATTCATTGAGGCATGGGGATGACAAAAACATTCATGCACAACCAAGGAGACAACTGCTCGCCTTTGAAATTTGTTCTCTGTTATTATTCGCTATAAAACCAGGAGAATGTTCGTGAAACGTAACAAAATAATAATTTGAAAATTATTTTATTCCTTTAGACTCAGTCCTATTGTTTATTATTGGATATCGTACAAAATCTATTTGTTGCAGTGCACTATTCCGGAACATTCCTTCTTTTGTTCGAATTTCCTTCTTTTTTTTGAAAAATTCCTTCTCAAAATCCTTCTTCTTCGTACCCCCCCCCCTTGCTGCGACCCCTGAAAGTATTGTTACAAGACAAATTATCAAATTAGTAAATGCTCTAGAACTCATCAAAACGTAAACTCTGCATGGATAATTTGTAACTTTATATAAAATATTATTTCAATCATAAGTATTTTTGGACATATCAATTTGTTATATCTAAAATATTATGTTTTTATTTTTATTTTTGTTAATTGCACAGTTCTCATACTGTAGAGAAAAAGAAAACATCTACGTATTTAGTTAAAGTAAAAAAAAAGAAAAGTCACGAAGTATGTCATACAAAGTATGACGTCGTTTAAATGAAATGTGTATGTAGAATAATTTCACAATAAAATGAATATTTCTATTCCTTTTAACAAATTGTTTTGATTTATATCTCATCATTAATATATAACGTTCTGGTTTTTTATGTCGACACTCAAATATGGTTTGACCTATAGAATATATATCATCAATAAAACGATGAGTAGTTCGTCGTTTTACGGCTCCGTAAAGAAAAAAAACGAATCTTCTTTTTTTTTTTTGTTCTTTCGTTATTTCTTTCATCGAATATAAAAGTGCTCAGTCAAGTTCATATGATATTTTGGATCAGACTAGCCATCTTGACATAGCCGAGTGCTCTTTGCTTTTCGATTCAAGTATTTGCTTTTGGTATGAACATCACATTGTTTTCATTTAAATAAAGATGATTAAATAAAACTTCTCTTATTACTAAAAAAAAATCAACAAATATAATGATAAGATTTTTCTTTTTGAAAAAACAAAAGTGATTTATATGTATAAATTTGAAAGAAAAAAAATATATTTTTTGAAATTCAAGCCTAATAGCTAAATTATGAAGTAAGCTATCATCCTAGCATAAACACTCAACGATACTTCTTCCGTTTGTTTCCATTATGTCTATATATAGATATTGTTTAAAAAGCAAAATAGCAAGGAAATCCGAGTGGTATATCACTATAGAAACAAAGAGACCGATTGAAATGTGTCCTCAAGCTATTCTATATCTGTAATAAAGCTTTGTCTTTTGTTTTTAAACTAGTAAAAGTCAGACAAATTCTACTCAGGGGCGACGCGAGCGAGGGGGGTACCTCCTCCTGCTTTTGAAAATTTTCGTTTTTTTTGCTCAACAATACCTCAAA